GATATACAATGCGTGTAATAAATAAGAGAGATAGCAAATAAAAAGAAACCATAATTTTTAGTTCATTCATTCTTCAATTTTGGATCTCTATCGTTAAATTCGAACATGTGCTAAGAGAGCTATTTTGCTACATGAATTTCAAAGCGTTGACATGTGGCCGCGAAAGAACCGAAGAAAATGCATATTTTGAAAATTAAAACGTACCTTTATCAATCCAGCATTTTTTAAGTATCATGATGTCTGCAGCAGTTCAGCTACAGTTGTACATGTTTGGTTATAGGGAGTCGAACACGGCTGCCAAGGGAGGTAACTTATGCTCACATACCAACATGCTTTAAAATAGCAAGACACTTACTTCAACCACCCAATTTAATAGTATTAAATTTGACAGACAAGTAAATTAATAATAAGCTTATCATTTAATCCTTTAATCTCCGGGTTTCATGCCCTTAAAATATCCTCTTTTGTTGTATAATAAATATATGATCTTTTAAGTATAGTCTTAGTATTTTCTAACAATTTGCTTTAAAAAAGCATCTGACCCTAAAAGCTAATCAATTGAGTAGAGACAGATTCAAACAAAAATTCAAATATTTACTATATTGTCATTTAGTTAGTCAAACGATGTCATATATCGGTTCGTTTTCTATAGGATTTGATTATAATTAATTTAAAACTGGTTACAAGATATTATTTTATGCTAATTACCCAAGTTTCTTTGAAAAGATCTTTAGAAGTCAAACAACAGTTGAATTCTTTTTACTTTATGTATTCTTTTTTTTTAAATTCAGCAATTGAGTTGGGATATATTTCTTATTCTTAGCGATCATTACTTAATCAGATTAAGTTACTGAAAAAAAATCGATAAAAGTAAACCGAAACGACTTCAAAAAAGATTTTAGATCTTGTCTTCAAGTTCAAACAAAACTAGAATTCTTATTCCATACAAGTACCATGGGATCTCCTCTCTCTAGAGAAGGGAGTTCGAGTCCTGTTCCGATTGATTCAGTCAATTTAATGGATTGGTTAAAAAATGTAAACAGAAAAAAAAAATTGTGTAAATTAATATTTAAATCTGTAATAAGGTTTTTACTACTTTAAAAATCTCAAAGTGTGCACTTTTTTCTCACCCTATTTCCTCTTTGACCCTTGTATATTTTCAATATTTTTAGAATGAGAAAACCAAAGCTTTTAAAAAAGATTATTTAATAAAAATAACTTTTTAAAATATTACAGGTTCAATACGGAAATTTAATTTTAATTAACAATAAACAAGTGAATCATTTAAAACCATAATCACATTGCCCTTGAAAATTAAGTACCCTACCAAAACAGTTCTAAAAAAATAACCAAAAAATGAAACCTATTCACCTTTTGTGATAATTTTTAAAGGTTTTAAAAATGAATTCGTTAAATGAGCGAATTTTTTCAGAAGTAACAATTTTTAGCCCTTTATATTGTAAATGGGTACTTTAGGGATTATCATTCCAAAAATGATACGCCAAATTTCAAATTATACTAGTATCAATTCTACTGAAACTGCAACCGCTACTAGCACTAGACTAATAAAGTGTATCTTAGCTTCCTAACCCGGCCAATTTCGAATTTGGTGACATTTAAAGACCCTTAATTACAGGAAAAGTTAGTTGCCTCCCTTTTGACAGTCGCTTTTGCATCCCTAAACAATTATGGGCACTAGACTCACATAGGGAAAACAGTTGATGAAATATTGGCCAAACCGGCAATGTACAACGTTTATATACACATGGAAACACAATTATACGCTAGTGACATCGCGTATATAAGACAAAATGCAAAGATATATTGAATTATAAATGCGGGGAATTGAAATAAAGCGTTATCGTTGCACACCGTGACTACACTAGGTATTATTCAGTGTTATTTTAATGATATCGAGCTTCACTAGTAAATAATCAAAACAATAGTAAAATCATTACCGATTTAGTAGGCCCGTTGGACCAAAAATACAGGCTTCTTGTTGATAAAATGAATTGGTCATGGGAATAGTTGCAGAACACCTTTATACGAAGAAAAGAAAGACATATTTAGATGTTCAAGGGAGGTAATTCCATATAAGATGAACTATTGAACACCGGCACATAGGAATGTTCGTTTGAACAGTAGTAGAAGAATATCAAGTTTGTTACAACAATATTATTTATTATGATTATATAGTTGTAACCTAATGAGTAGATTTAGTTTAAAATATCTTCATTAAACTAAAGTATATTATTCCTTGCCAAGAGTCAGTTTAATTATGAAAAGCATAAAAACACAAACATTAATGTTGTTTAACAGGTAGTGTTACTGTTGAAAATCCATCTTTGTTTCGTCAGAAATATATATATTTGAACAAAAGATACATTACTGGTATGACATCGTTCAGAAGTGTGTAGGTGAATAAGCACTCTTCCATGACTACCTAACCCACTCAAGTAAGAGTAGTAAAAGAAAACCAACAAACTTACAAATTATCAGTCTTCAAGGGCTAGTAAAAAATATGACAAATTTATGAGTAAAACTTTTTCATCTTTGTATACTGACCTTATTTGTAGGAGAAAAATTAAATAAAAAGCTTTTGTCTAACTGCTGGAGGGATATTGTAAAAAAATTATATTTTTAAATTTGATTACCATTTACAATACTTTGTCAGCAAAATAACTTTTCTACCTTGATTAAAACCAAATTAGAAGTGATTAATAGTGAAGATCAAAATTGAATGATTAGAATTGTCACAATGTCCAAGCTACAAACAAGGATTGTTTTCAGTTTTTATTATGGGTTTAGGTTCTTGTATAGGAAAGTGTTTTACCACTTCACAGTTGACAACAAAAAAAAACAAACAAACAAACAAATATCAATAGTCTCTAGCAGGACAATGGGATAGTCCCAGCTGAACTGGAACCAACAGTAAGTGTAAGAATAAAGTATTCTTAAATAATCATTCAGTTGTGTTATACTCTGCTGTAATTAGATCTCTTTCTGATTCACTCTACAAGTTGGCTGAGTGTGAGCATTAAGAAAGCAAAAAGCAAAATAAAAAAAGTCACCTTCTGTGTAGGGGCTCCAAGCATCAGATTCAGTCCACAAAACAAATCCTTACAAAATTATAAAATGCAATAGCCAATCATGAACATTTCCACCAAAAAGAAAAGATGACTCTGTGAGCCACCATATTTACTTAAAAGAAAGCCCTTCATAAATGACCGACATAGTAGCAGGTCAAGAAGCCATCTGTTGACACCAGCATACTGTCATGGTCACAACCATGATCACCTCTCTTGTCACCACTGTTAACTTGCCCAAGCTTCACTAATCTCACCCGATTCTTTATACACAGACTGTGGCCAACAGGTCATCTTTGACACTAACACCAATGTCTTCACTATCCACTCCAAACCTCTCTTGTCATCACCATTGTGACCCCATCTTTGATCTTCTGTTTGACAAAAATCCAACAGAGACATTCTGTTCAATCAAGCTTCACTCTCCACTCCAAGCCACTCTTATCATCACCACCATGACCTGTTTCATTTGATCTTACATTCAACCAGAATCCAATAGAGACATTTGGCTACCAAGCCACCAACATACCCCTTGTATTGGCAATGTCAGATTTATGACTTCACCTGACTCTTCATGTTTGCACCCTCAGTATCAGCAAAGTCAGACTCATGATTTCACCCAACTCTTCACACTCACACCCCTTTTTTGGCAGTCAGATTTGTAGTTTCACTATCCCTTGTCACCATCATGATTCTGCTTCATTAATTTTCCATTCGACCAGAATCAAACAGAGATATTCCACTCAATCAAGCTTCACTATCCATTTTGGGCTTCCCTCACTGCCATCACTGTAACCTCAATCAACCAACACACCTTACCAGGCCTTAGCATGAATCAACCCACCACCATGATCTTGATCAATCAACCCAACAACACACCTTACCAGGCCTTACCACAAATCAACCCACCACCATGACCTCGATCAATCAACCCACCAACTTATCAAGTTTTACAATGAATCATCCCTGTTAGCAACAAGCAGTTTGACTTCAGCACCTCAGTCTAATCACAAGACCGTTGACCCACCAATACCTCACTGGTGTCAATTTCAATCCTGAAGAAAAGTGTACCTGAACCCTGCCAATAACACTCCATTTGGCTTCACTAATCCACCCTAGGCCTCTCTCCTGACACCAACCATGACCTCAGCCAACCAACCAAACAAATCTGTTAAATCCTGGCCTTACCAACAATACCCTTACACCTAATCACTTCCTTTACCAACAGCAGCTAAATAATCATATATCAACAATTTTGCCACCTCTTCACACAACTATGTATATATTCTAAAATTTGGTCAATACACAATGTCAAAATTTCAATCCTTGTTTGTTTTTTTTCCTTGCAACCATACACTTGTTATAACAGATGTTAACAGCCATACAAAAAAAATCATTATTATTTACACAATACCTATAATATAAAAGAAAATAGGATACTTTCAAGGAACTGTTATTTATAGTACATAGAAATTTGAGATTTTATCTGTAGAATAATTTTTTTATAATAATAATGTAAATTGCACCAATTATTCCTTTTTAAACCAAACAACTTAGGACATACCACTTTGCAGACATTTCTAATGATCATAGGATTAACCTTAATTTATTTTAATGAAAAAAATATTTAGAATCTGTTGTTTAAATATCCTTTGTGTAGTTTTACTAATAATACTATTAATGTTATAGGTATTTACTAAGTTTCACTTAGTGTGGCACAAGGATATAATATTTAGGCACCTAGTAAGAATTAAACTCTCTTCACTAGCAATCTGTCATGTGAGGTACTACTGGAAAATATGGTTCCTACTTCATTTACAATCATTCCATCTGTTCACCTAAAATATGTAAGGTTGTAGCTCAATAGAATAAATGGTATGCTTAAGGTTAATATTCAAAACCTTTAACTGTGAGCAATAAACCTGTTCCCATATGATCACCAAAATTAAGCAATGTTGAGTCTGGTCAGTACCTAGATGGGGGATCACTTGGGAATATCAGGAACTGTAATCTTGGATGTGTGGGTGATTTAATGGATAATGCTCAGAATTGTTAATCAGTGAGCTAAGTTCTAATTCTTGTTGGGTTCATTATATATGCTTACATGAAAATACCCTTGGGAAATGTAAGAATCTACCCATTCTCTGCCAGTTATAGGTTAATTATTAAGACTTGTATCACTAAACCATTATTATCCCCAAAGAAATTCTTACAATCTAAAAATATTTCCTGGCTTTAAATAACCTGCAAAGGCTTGATAAGCTATAGAAAATGAATCAATCAATGAAAAACAATGTGAACAATGAAGGAATGAATATCAGAATTCAATTTGAATTAAACTAGATAAACAATAATTTATTATAACACACAAATAAAATATATTCTTGTGGCAAATATTAAAGGAGACAGTGTCTGCTACTGGATGTAGTATGCCCATTCAGCATTCATACAGCAATAAAAGTTTTCCTGAAAGAGAATTTCCTAAAATAGAGAAAAGTTCAGGCCAAGACTTGAAAAAATGTTATCATTGCTTAGAGTTTAGTGAGTTAAACATTGTTTCAATATTTTAGAATAAAGGAACATACTTGGAACCAACCTGGCCTTAGTTTTTAAGTAAAATTCCAAAAGATAAGAATATAGCACTGCAGATTGTATGCAATGGGATCTCCCTCCCAGCTTTCTGCTGATCAGACATAAAGCTCCATGTATCTCTATTCTTATTCTGGTTTACATCAAAAACTGGAAAAAGCCTGTTGCAAACTAAATGCCATAGCAAGAAATAACAAAAAAAAAAAAAAACTGTTTCCAATATATTCAAGTGTTTATTCAGGGCTTTACTTGATTGGCCTGGGTGGGTAGGTAGGTGACACTTGGGATAAATTCTATTATGTCAGGCTAACAAATCAAATCTTTTCTTCAACTGGAACAGCAACTTTCTGCTCATCCCAACATCATGGTGTATGGCTAGCAGCTTGAACAATTGACATCAGAACTACCCAAGGGTCAGTCTGTCCACATGAACAGGTAGTCCAAAACTCCACTCAATTCCAACTGTGACCAGTAATATAGACCAGCAACTGGAAATCAATTTCCAGTATTATTGTACCTTGACACCTAAAGTTTTCATTTATTTATTCTTTTATTCCCTTTTGATCAAGTAGATAACTGCTTTGAAGACCAAATCTCTTATACTTTATCACTGGTCATAATGCACAAAATACTTGAGAGCGAGATAAAACATGGGTGCCTGAATCACAGTGTCATATAGGTACAAAAACCCTACTGAAATGAGGAACAGATATTACACTTCACAGTGGTAGGATGTGATATAAAAGTTTAATGTAGGGTGCTCATACACTTATATATAGGCCAAGGATAAAAATTGCCAAGTAACTGAAACCACTGTCTTGCTGGCATCAATATATACCAACCTACTCTCTTTAGTATAATGAGGAAAGTGCTGGAGGATTGGATTTCCTGTGACTAGATATTCCTCATAAGTTTAAAAGGAAGAAAATTTTGATTCTAGACAGAGGCTGGTAATGATATTTTTATCTTAAGCAAACTGCACAGATACTTTAATTCAAAGCAGAAGTGCTAATTCATATACAAATAATTCCATTACTGCTAAGCTAGTAATTTAATAAAAAATCAAAGAGCTTTCAATTTTAATTTAACATTATGATTTTTTAAAGCTATTAATTTTTAGATTTTATTATGCAAGTCAATGTTTTCACAATAAAATTGGTATTCACCAACAGATGTGAGTAAAACTTTTTGGACAGAGTAATATGATCACATGTATAATATAATTCCCACTTTACTATGTATGAAAAGTATGAAATGATTAATTTTCAGTTTGCCTGATACATTATCTTACAGTTAAGGTAATTTCAGAAGCCAGTGTTAATCCTTACCTTTAATAATTTTGGCGGCTTATAAATGGATAAAGATATAGTAAAAAAAATCCTCTTGTATAAAGTTGTCCCTTGGTATTCATGAGGGTTACATTCCTAGAGCAAAGAGTGAAAAACTGCAAATATTGGATGTCATCTATAAAAATGCCTATATATATAAAAATGCCACTCTGACTACCACTAATGGATATTTCTCCAGACTGCTACGAATATCTGAATTATTAAAAAACTTTTTATTATGCTGAAAACCAAAAGACCCACTCCTCACTCTAAAGAAAATAAATAAAAATATATTACTTATTTTAAACCCTTGTCAGTTCATCTTATTCCACAGTTTCCAGTAAAGAAAAACCTACCAACACAATATCATAGGTATTTTTGTTCATACTTACAATATAACAACTACTTACATAGCTTTTACATTATATGAAGTATAATACATTATTTATATTGCATTTACATTGTATTAGATATTATAAGTGATTTATATAGCATTTCACTTTAGTTGATTTGTCAGGAATTTTAACTTCATGATAATATTAACCTAGGAAAATGGCCCTAGAATGTGGTACAATTGGGAACAGCCTGAAAACCACACCATGGGTTGGCCCAAGAATTGTGAGTGGAATTGAGTAGATAAAACTGTTCAGAAGCCAGAAATGGTTGTGTGAGCATGAAGTTGCAAGTCATTATGGCCAATGGTTGGGGCATACTGGTCTTGTTTAACTACAGATCACACTAGATTAGACTGACAGATGCCTACTATTATATTGCATTTACATTGTATTAGAAGTAATTAATATAGCATTTACATTGTAATAGGTATTATGAGAAATTGACAGATGATTCAAAGTATACAGAAGGATGTATATAGGTCATATGTAAATATTATATCATTTTTATATAAGGGAGTTGAACAGGGAGTTTACAGATATTGGTATCTGTGGTGATCCTGTGATTTGTGGCAATGATTTAATCACTCTGCCACTTAATATAGAACATTAAACTTTGTCAGTTCCTTTTATTGCTGTAATAAGTACCTGTCTCTTCCTGATATCCCCTACCTTTACAACAGCCAGATCAGGCCAAAATGGAGTACTGCTGCCATATATGGGCAGGAGCTACCCAATCTTCATTTTCCAGTTTTGACAGAGTTTAAAAGTATCTCCACATCCTTGTGGGTGATGAATTATTTTCCACCCTGCAACCCTTTTCCCACTGATGAAACATCACAAGAGCCTCTTCTTCTATTTCCATAGAATGACTTCAGACAAACTATATTCCTTAGTTCAACCAGTTTTAACCTTCACAGCTAAGAACTGCAATGCAATGCACATTATAGCAAACCACCCTAATTCCCTTTGCACTCCATTGGTGAGATTTAAGTTCCACTTGAACACCTTCTTGCCACAAACCTGTGAAACTGACTCCCAATAGGATGACTACAATTTTAACCTATTCAAGTATAGGATCAACCATTATCTTCTCCATATATCCTCCCTAAACTGTGCCTCTTACTCTGTAATCCTCTACCTTGAGTGGCTCTTGGGGCTCGTACAAGGCGAACATCATTGTAAAAAAAAAAAAAACTTTAACCTTTAGTCCTCTCCTCTACTGCTTGAACCAAACCTGAATATATATAACTTTGTATTATCTTATTAGTGACTGTAATCTGTGAAGATCTAAGATATAGCATTTCTAACAAAACAAGTCACTGCAACAAAGAAATCAATGCTCAGCCAGTATATAAAATCAATCAAAAAGCCAAGTACCAAATACTTTCAGGGAAGAAATGATAGATATTGATTATTTATAAAAGCCATACAAATATTATCAAACTTACACAGGTTATTTTTATACCTAAAAAGACACAAATGTTGCATTTGTGAGTATGTGTTATGTGGAATAAGCATAGAATAAAACAATTGATGTCTGAATAGGTTAGCTTAACTTATGAACACAATCAACTCTGCACAAGTGACAGATCAGGCTGAAAAGTGAGTACTGCTGCCATATTTGGGCTGGAGTTGCCCAGTCATCACTTTCCACGCTTGATAGAGTCCTAATGCATCTATGCAACCTTGTGGGTGATGAATTATTTTACACCCTGCAACCCTTTTTCTACAGATAAAACATTAAAAGCCTCTTGCTACTGTATCACAATTTCCATGGAAAATGTTCAGAGGAGCTAAATTCCTTAGTTCCAGCAACTTTCACAGCTAAGACCCACCAAGCCATGTACACTGAAGTGAACCACCCTTATTCTCATCATATTCCATTAATGAGAAGTAAGTTCACCTTGAACAGCTTCTTCCTACAAACCACTACTTTGTGGAATCAAATCCCAAGAGGGTGCTTTCTTGACAACTACAGTCTTAACCTGTTCTAATCTAGAGTTAACCATTGTCTTTTCCCACATATCCTCATAAATTGCACCTCTGTATATATTACTGTACCAATCAGAATCTACACTCTTATTTTGATGTTTTTATGTATGACTGTTATACCATTTCACTTAGTGTAGGGATACAGAAGGTGCTTATCTCCCTTTGGTGGAGATAAGTCATGTAGGTCACATGATGGCTGCTTAATGACGTCACTACATACAGTGATAAAAGCACTGATCATTTTTCAGTTTATTTACAGAAACCAAACAGTAAGGTTACTTTCTTTGACTCAGGCACTCTATGACTCAGGCAGAGGCTAAATCTGCCTCCTCAATGGAGCTGTTTGCTGTTGGGAATATATCTTTCCCAGATATAAAATGGAACTCCAGCTTGCAGTCCTCAGTTTGGGAAAACCCAAGACTCATTGTTCCCAGTTTGTGAAATATATCCTCACCTGAGACATAGATGAATCCAGCTTGTTTGAATCTGGAGTACTAAAAAATGGCTTCACCAAATCCAGGAGTACCACCATATTATATGAATAACCCTTCCTTTTTGTTTCCCCTTACACTCTTTTTTTAGTCATTACCACAGCCCCATTCCATAGAACAGGCCTACCAATCAACAAGATTGACCCACCTCTGTGACCTTGATCAGTCAACATGTGCACCAACCATATCCTGTGAGCACAAGAAATAGGTCAATGC